AACTAAGTTATGCATGATAGGTTAGTAGTCAATTTTATTTTAAACGTATAAAGTTCACATCTATGGTGAGTGTCAAACTTAGCATTTCTAAAAAAATATGTTTCCAACTATATGATGTAGGAATAAACCAAATATTTTTATATGTTTTAAAAATCTCCTCATATGGGTGCTCTCCATTTCAACCATCTTTTCCTTTTGAATGAAGGTTTTTTAACACATCAATTGTTAGGCACAAAGAGCACACTCTCTAAATTCTTTAACTATTGTTCAACTTGCATTGAAAGCATTAAGACTATTGGTTTTGATACCACTTGATAGAGAGTGAGAACAAAATGAAACTAAAGCTGGGCATGATATGTTAATGTCCATATTTGTTTCTAAACCAAAATTTTAAGCTTATTATGAGAGTCAACTGCTAATATTTTTACATTAAAATATTTTAAACTATTCAATCTAAGGGTAAACCAATATTCTCTCATATATTAACAAATAGATTATCCTGTTTTTAAATAACCGCAATCAGGATAGATTTACTAAGGCGTGGATGCTTTGGTCACTTACAACTCTGACGTTTACTTGGAGTTTATTTTAAACTTAATGTTACTAGCTGGGTTCCAATCAAATTTTATATCATTGCATTGGTGTTTTAGCAACTTACATTATAAATCTAGATTTTGTGGCAGCTTGAGCAGCACTAATTGGGTTGTAATCCTACTTAGGATTTGAGCAAGCCTAATAGGTATGCTTAGATTTGTGGCTATCCAAGCTCTAATGCTTGCGAGTATTCTTTGGATTATTATATCTTTAGTAAAAGAGAGACGACTGATTGGTGTAAACTAGCTGACATGAGAGGTGAAGTTCGCAGAACCCCCGGAACTCGTGTTTTCATGTTTTCCGCAATTTCAGCATGACGTGGGAGCTTTTAGTGCCGGTGAATTCTGCATAGTCACAGGATTTACGAAATTCCACAATTCTACGATTGCCAAAGCTAAGAAACATAATTGCGAGAGTGGAACTGGCAGGATTGCTTTATTTCAACCAATATTAATTCATTTTCTGATTTATTTCCTTTTTTTCATTTTTAATTAGGGTATTTTATGTTAGGAGGCTCTTTATATGCTCGTTTTTTGTTTTTGATGTACTTTTAGCTTTTGTTAGTTGTAGAGATTTTATTCTTATTTTTTGTTCTTTGGAGTGTTGTATCATCTTCCTTGCAAGTACTGTATCTATATCTTACTTAGGAACGGGTGGCGAATCCTCCTCGCCATTTGTATCTCTTCAGTCATCGTCCGTGCCGCTGCTTTCATTCGGGATAGCTGTCAAACGGCATTTATCTCCCTCAAAATGTTGACCGCCCTTATTATCATCCTCTTGTTATTCGACAACCACTTCCCCGCTAAATCCGCTTCCCAAACACCTTGTAGGAGCCGTAGAATGGTATCACCCGCTCATACCAACGTTTCAACATTTTGTTACTAATTTGATATTGTATCGTAGCCTATGAACTTGCAAGGATGGTGACAACCTTCGAACATATGAGTGGGCATTAATTTTGGAAAAAAGTTTTAAAAATTTGTCATTTTTTTAATAAAAATTCTTAAATGTAAAAAATGGCAAATGAAATTATTGAACTTGGAAATTTTTTGCTGTTTACAAAAAGAAAATAATTTGGGTGTTTTATCTGTTTTTTAATAAAATTGTTAGAATCTATTTAATCTGAGCATTAACAACAATATATAATATTAATTGCATCATAAGTATATGAGTTTGATTTACCATAAGCATTGTGATTATTAGGATGGTTTTAACAAGACAATAAATCTGTCACTTATCATCATCATTGTTGTCATCATTAAGAATCTTATCCATATATTTGAAGCTAATTCTGCTCTTTACCTACTAATAAATATTATCACATATTAATTACGTGGCATCTTCATACATCTTATTGATCGTTGGGATTATAAAAAATCTTCATTTAATTGCATGATTTTTGTTGCAAAGAATACATCTCAAGGCAATGTATGACTATATCAATGCTTTTTGATCTACTTTGATTATATTACTATTAAGTTAAGCTTTAGACCACCTCATCATCACCATAGAAAAGATTCAATGTGTCATACCATGTTTGTGGACACAGAGAACACTCAGAAATGAGTTTAAATAACCCAAATATGATCAGAGAGAGAATATAGCTTGAACAAGGCTAGGGACATGCTTGGGCCATCACCCTCTTTCCTCGCATGACCAAGTCTCACGAGGAAAAAGGGTTGACTATGAGGGTAGCTGCTGGTGCCACTGTCACGATGGAGACTTGTAATGTTCTCTCTTGTTACTCTGCAATCTGTTCAGAAGATTTTGATTTATTCAAGCTATTATGCTCATGATATTCCACTATTTTGTGAGCCATTCGTCTTAAAATATTTGTTTAGAGGAAGGAGTTGTTCTATGTTAGTTTTGAGCCATTCGTTCTAAGAGGCAACACACTTATTGGAATTGTTTCCACAAATTCAACTATCGAAAATTTGATCTATTACCACTATATTCTTATGATGTGTCACATGTAATGTGATCTATTATAGATCATTGATCCAGGACATCATTATGGAGGCCTCTTTTAGACTGTGCCGCCTCTAGCTGCTTGGCTCAAATCAAGTTAAAAGTCATTGGAATGGTGAGCTCAACGGCAACTTTATCTTGTCATAAATTATGGGAGATTATGATCTCAATATGTTGTTTATAGCTATAACAAAAATTCTACTTAAGGATCAGAGTATCATTTATGAAGGGTGTAAATAATGCTCCTTTTCAGCTTATTTGGAAGCTTTTTCTTTATATGATCGAAAGAGGCTTGGAGATTCCTCGTCTCTAATGATACTCATCTTTTCCCACTATAAGAGCATCCTTGACACTCCTTACATGGCAAAAATAATTGTGTTGCCCACTGCTGCCATTCTATCCATATGACTAAATGTTATTTATTTTTTACAAAATAGAGACAATAGTTTGACTACATGAGGGTTTTTCATATAAAATTCATTTTCTATTCTAATGTGTGCGCTAAGAAGTGCTGAACTACGATGAAAAATGTTCATCAGTTCCTAATTGTTTATAAAAAAATTTCGCAACATACAACATTTTGGTGTTTGTGGGAATCCCCTATATTTTTTTATGAGCAATTGTTAGCATCATTCATATATGTTACAAGGACTTCAACATATCTTGTTCGAATATCCTTGATTAATCAGCTCTCTTCATTTTCTGTCCTTAGAAGTGAAACACCCAAATTATTATTATTTGAGATCAGCATTTTGTTCGACCTTCGATGAATGATGACAATCTCTTGAGAATATCTGCCACATTGAGGAGTAAATCAAAATAAATTGGCAAACTCGGCTCCACCTAGAAAGGACATTCACATTGGTATATTGGTAATGGTTTTGTCTAGTTAGTGTCCTTCCATTACCATTAGTAGTATTGTGTGTAGTTCTGTAGAATGCATCCCCTTAAACCCATGGGTGAATTCATGTGTCATGCCAAAAAGATTAGTTCGACAAGGCCAAAGCCCTCAGACTAGGTTTTTATTATTGGAAACCATCAATAACACATCTTGAGAGCCCATAAATGAGTCTTGAGAAGTCATCTAACAATGGATTAATTCCTGGTTAGTGAGAATCCTTGAGAGGGCATATAATTCTATGACAATGTTTGCATCTTTTAATATACTCCATAATGCATAAGATCCGATCGTTAGAACCATGTATACTTAAAATGATAAAAGATATTCATCATCTGTAGAAGTTCAATAGAATACTCAAGGCTGTTGAAGCATCTCACTAAATAGGATATATATTTCATTTGAGAAGAGTCCTGACTTGTTTTGTAAGAGTTATTTTGGATTGGAAAATGACTCCACTCATAATCCTAAGGTAATGACTATGTCGGTTGTTTAACTTGTGGCTATGATTAATGAAGTTTTGATTAAAATTATGACGGATTGTTGGCTTAGTGGAAAATCAAGGATTATGTCGACAATACAAATATATTTTTGATCTCATTTACACGTCTAAAAATAGGGGGTAATTTTTGAGATTGTAAAAGAATTCATAATTTTTTCACAAACCACGGTGTCTCAACCTCTAGAAAATATTCAACATGTAGTATTGAGTCTGTTGGTATGCAACCCAATTAAATGGTGGTTCAAACAATATACAAATGATTGGGAAAAGTCGAATTGGATCAGTCAATGCTAGATCGGCTCAACTTGGATGGTTCATCTCTATCATGTTAATAGAGAGAGATTAGGACACTGGTGCAACCCTAACGATGCGAGCTACCTATTGGTGGCCTCCAAGTGCACTAACATGGCAATGTTATTACACTAATACAGCGTCAATTCGCAACCGTTTATCTCAAAAAAAAATTATTTTGGTGGGAGGAGTTGATCATCATAAAAAGGCTGAGATTTTGTCATCAATTTTGACTGAGGAGTTCATTCAAGAGGTTTTGATCTGATCAAAATGTTTTCTGTCAACCTAATTATTAAAAACTTGATCATCACCAGTAATGCACTCATGAGATAATTAACTACAACTTAGTATACTTAAATCATTAATTTCAAATATCAATGGAGATTTCCATTGCTTGCTGCAGCTGCCAGAACACTTTTAACTGCCAGGTTAGCTCGTGCTAAACTTATGACATCAACCCTTAATACTAAGTTTTTACAGAGGAATAAAACTTCAATGATTGGACAGTCCCCCATGATTCTTCTACATAAAAAAAATCCATGTCACATCAAAAATACCACCATCACTATTGAAGTGAAATGCACCTTTTCATGCAGACAGGCTTATGAGGTATTAAAAGCGCAAATATCAAACTTTGGGTGTTACATATTGTAAATACATAAAATTATGGTATGCATGTAAATTTTCCTTTAAACTAATGTCAATAAAATATCAAATCCCTGAACTTATCTCAATGCTTTTCTGCAGTTAGCTGCCCTGGACTTCATTGTATGTTCTGCCGCTGATGCATTTGCCATGACAGACTCTGGAAGCCAATTATCCTCCCTTGTTGCTGGCTATCGCATATATTATGGGGGTGGCAAGCACCCCACCATACGACCAAATAAGCGCAGATTAGTTACCATTTTCGCGAAGAATTCAACTATAGAATGGAAGCAATTTGAGGTAAGAGTTAGGAAGACGGTGAAGCAGAGTAAGAAGGTTTACGAAAGGCCTGTAGCTAGAAGCATATACAGGCATCCAAGATGTTTGCAGTGTATGTGTTCAGTGGATGCATAGCATCTGTATTTTGTTTCTTTTCTTAAATCAATTGCTTGATATTTGGGGGATCTACTTATACACCACACAATTCTTACGTATTTTCGTCTCTAATGCCTATACTTAAATATTCCTATTAACACTCAAAGTTTTAACATCACATTGAAAATATTATTTTTACTCATTTTTTTTTAAGTGGGTATATGTTTCATGCATAGTTTTTGATGCGAATATGTCTCTAGAATGGTATATATGAAAATACCAAATTTTAGGTGTTAGATATGTGAGTACATAAGAATTGTGTGGTATTTATGTAAATTTTTCATTTTTTTTAATTCTTTGAAAATGTGTGTAATTTCTTTGGTTTTTTTATTGGCCTGGGAACCATGAGTTGATTCAGATATTTCTCCCTCGATTTAAGTCCCATGTTTCTGATTTGCATTCTTTGGTAGTCATAAAGTTGTGTTTATTGGGTGAGTTTGACAAGACAATATGAAAATTTCTGTATGTTTGGAGGAAATTGTAGTTCTCCACATTAGATAATGGGGTTTACTGATTATATTGTTGTATTTGTATGATTCCTATTTATTTTTTGGGGAAATTAACATGCATATCACCAAGTTCTTATGTATTTGTGTATCTAACACTCAAAGTTTGATATTCATAAACTTATGCAAAGGACTGAATATGCAGCTTATTGAATAATTTGCTGATAAACTGATTAAAATAATCTGTTGATAAACTAGGTGCGATAGCTACTACAAATTTCTACAAATTTTTATTTAATTTTTATTTTTTTGGAAAAGCTAGACCACAACCAGAAAGCTGCCACCGCACCTAAATAGGTGCGGTGTGAAAAAGTTGTTTTCAGCGTTTTGAAAATGTATAAGCTACCAAAACGCAGTTTACCCAAACAAGTCAGATGTGTTTTCAAAACGCCACCTCACCAAATAAGCTGCCCCAAATAGACCCTAAATTGGATTTGCATGTAATTTGCAGGGATACTTTTTTTTAAAAAGGGATTTATTGTTGGGTTTTGAATATCAAGTGAATGTTGGAAGCTTTTTTTTAAAGAATAACAAGAGATTCTCATCAAAATAGAGGAATTGCACGAGTGAAAATAAAGATTTATATTTGCCATTCAGAAAAAAAGGGTGTATTTACATACATACCACCCAATTCTTTCATATAACATCAGAAGTAGCATCATTTTAACTGCTCAAAAGTGAAATACACCTTTTCATACATAGATAAGATAGTATGTAAGTAAAAATCGAAGTTTGGGTGTTTGATACTTGAGTACTCAAGTCTTGATTGTTTGTAAATCTTCCTTGACTTAATAAACCCTGAACAAAGCTGCAAACTTCTTCTCTTCAATCCAACTCATTCCTATCTTGTTTTTATAAAGCACTTCTCTCATAAGCTTCCACATCAGCAAAACAAGCCCATTCACTCTCTACAACATATATAATTGACAAACTTAGCTTCAAATGAGTCATCTTGTGAGAACAAAAACTCAACATTTTACATTATTGTGAATCTTGAAGATCCAAGAAATGTGTCCTGTCTGGAGTCATCAAACTTCCTTCAAATATGCAAAATATATATTTTTCACTAAAGATTTGTCTATTGCAATCATGAGCCCATCATGAGCTTAATTTGTTATCATCCAATTAAGCATGATTTAAGTGGTTAAAGACTAAAAAAGCTAGTAAAAACAAGAAAGAGAATATAAAAAAAAATGGAATATCCCAATTTATCATAAGCTTCCTTCACAAGTATTTATACAAAGTTTTGATATAATAGCATGGTGAAACATGCAAAAATATACATATAGGGTAAAGGTTAGAACAAGTTATTTCATGACATATCATAGAATTCTTTCATAAGTAAATAGAAACAAGCTCTAGTGCTTCTTATTGGATGAAATCATAAAACATGGAACTCAAAGCACATTAAAAATAACAAACCAAATCCAAGTCAACTTGATTCTATGGTCAACATATCTAAAGATGTAAGAATCAAATCTGACTTATCAATCATGAGCTCAACTAAGTCAAGGCCCAAGTAAAAAGTAAAGAGTCTATGGAAGAAAATATCGAAAGAATCTTTATAATAGTGAATAATAAAATATAAGTAGATTAGGGAGGAAGAGGGAGATGGAGGAACAAAGTTGCTCTATAGGTTGGGTGGCATTTGAGCTTCTTAAAAGGGTTACCAATAGGTACATACTTGAACAAATTACTAACTCACTATTATGGACATTTCTAGTCAAGGATTCAAAGAAATTCAATCAATCATTTGCTCTGGGGGGAAAAAATCTAGGTCTCGATGAAGAGGTATGGATTTGAAACCACAGAGTATGAAACCTCCATTTTCAATTTTCAATTGAGGAACTACCTTAGTGCAATCATCGTACATCCTGCTTCGGCTTAGCACCTTTTTTTTCGAGGCCATGATAATGCCAACTAAGCAATGTGTTGTAGTTGTTGGTTTGAGCTCTTGTAAATCTCAGTGCCATATAGAGCCTGCCTTGATGAGATGACAGTGTGATCGATGACACTCTTGTCTTGTTGTTCAACTTAAACAGGAGCATCTGCCCAATCCATCACGATTTGTCCATACCAATTGAACATGATTGTTTGATTTTGATAAGGCCAAATAAACTCATGGCTATGAAATGTTGTAAAATACTTATAATCCAACCATCTCCCTATCCATGTGATAAATCAACATCGCCAAGACTTCAGAAGCCAGACTAACACATGGATTACTTCGATCGCTCGCAACAAACCTGTATACTTCATCTCTTACCTCAATCCAACTTATCCCCACCTCTTTCTTACCACCCACTCCTCTCATAAGCTTCCTCATCTCCGCGAACGAAGCCCATTCATTCATAGCAGCATAAATATTCGACACAATAACGTAAGTCTTCGCACCCTTCGGCTTCAAATTCAGTATCTTCCGAGCAACAATGCTTCCCAAATTCACATTGCTATGCATCTTACAAGCTCCGAGAAGTGCCCCCCATAGCGATTCATCTGGCTCAAATGGCATCTTTGCAATCAACTCAGAAGCCTCTGTTAGCCTCCCACTTCTACCAAGTAGATCAATCACACAACCATACACCTCCTTATCAGGATGAACACCATACATTCTTTCCATCAAATTGAAAAAGTTCAAACCTTCCTCCACCAAACCAGCATGGCTACAAGCACTTATTACTCCCATAAACAATATTGAATCAGGTTGGATCCCACAGATCATCATTTCATTGAATAATTCAATAGCCTCTTTCCCATATCCATGCACTCCATACCCAATGATCATTGATGTCCACGACACCAAATCTCTATAACAAATGTTATGGAAAACTTTCTGCGAGTCAGCTATACTGCCACATTTTGCATACATGTCAATAAGAGCATTTGCTATCTGTTGGTTTTGTCCAAAGCCTCTTTGTAGAACAGAACTGTGAACTTGTTGACCAAAGCTTAAAACTGAGAGTTTTGCACAAGAGGAAATGATGCTGGTGAAAGTGAACGGATTCGGCTGAATGGATTGTGAAAACATGTTTAGGAGGAGACGAAAAGTATCAATGGAGTCTGCGCAACTAAGACCGGCTATCATCGTGTTCCAAGTGATCAAATCCTTCTGAGACATCTCAAGAAAGTATTGTTTGGCGTCTGAAAAGCTCATGCATCTTAAGTACATGTCAGTGATTGCATTTGAAATGTGAAGGTTAATGTTGTGCCCCATTTTAAAAGTGGCAGCATGGATTTGCTTGCCGAGCATTAAGCTCCCAACTGCAGCGCTGGCTCGAGCCGTTATGGATAAAGTGAATGGAGTTAATTCAGCTCCCTCCTGCTTCAAAGAAAAAAAAAAAAAAAAAAGAGATTTTTATGGGCATATATACTTCTAGAGTGGTTGCCGATTTCAAGTCGAGTTCCAAAATTTTGGCTCGTAGCTTAGCTCGTTTATTTTGATCCAAGCCAAAATTTGAATTCGAATGATAAAAGATCTTCGAGCTAAATTCATTGAATTCACAATCCTAACATCAGTAGGGTTGTTAACTATCTGATTTTGTGCCAAGCTGGGGTCGACTCAAGAAAACTTCGATCCACAATTTCAGCTCATAGCTCGGCTCATTTATTTCAACCCGAGCCAAAATTTGAATCAATTTTCGAGTGATCAACTATCTTAGAGCTAAATTCAAAGCCCTATATATTCAGAAGTAGGAGAGTGAAGGTACCTGAAACATCCGATGGCACATCTGAACCGCGGCGGCACCATTTCCCCAGCGAACATAGGCGGCAATTATTGTAGTCCACGAAACGGGACTCCTTTGAGAGATTCCATCGAACACCTGGCGTGCGTCAGCAATGCCACCGGGGCAAGCAGAATACGCATCTACCATCGCATTATCGACATGCATCTGGCCCTCAATACCTCGTCGGATAACAAGAGCATGCACTGCGGCTGTAACTCCGGCGAGTTCCATGGCCTTGCAGGCCGTGAGAATGCTGGAAAGGGTGAAGGGATTGGGGTTTACGCCGGCGGAAGCCATGGATCGGAAGCTGGCCCAAGCGTATTTGGGCCGGGCGGTGGGAGCCACAGATCATAGCCGTCCACGAGACGACATCGCGGTCAGGCATTTCGTCGAAAACCTGGCGGGCGTCGGAGAGCCGGCCGCTGTTGCAGTAGGTCTTGATGAGATTGGTGGATGCCGCTAAAGGTGATAGAGGCGAAAGCTGGTGGAGTTGATGGAAAGGTAATTTTGTCATTACGGATAGCCGTAGGGTGCAGCAAGCTGTCTTAATTGTTCTAAAATTGATTTAAATTTTGATTTGATAGCCGTAGGGTGCAGCAAGCTGTTAATTTATCTTAATTGTTCTAAAATTGATTTAAATTTTGATTTCCGTCTTGATTGAATCTAAATAGCCTTGTGTATAGAAACTAGAAAGCGAAGAAAATTGGTCTTCAATGATATTTGCGTAGATAAGACGTACGCAACGCTGCGTACATCAGGGGTTATTCGGGGGGTACAGTGGGGTTATATCCAGGTTATACCCCCTGTAACCTCTGTATAACCCTTGTAAAACTTATTTGTTCCCATGAAATTACAGAAACGCGAAACTCATTTGTAGGTTACAGGTAGGTTACAGGGAAGTTACATAGAGGTTATAGAGCGGTATAACACCGATATAACCTCCATGTACCTCCTAAATAACCCCTGGACGTAAGCAGCGCTGCGTACGACTTATGTACGCAAATATTTTCCCAATGACAGGGTGTCATGTGGCAACTCATACCCGAATAATGTACGTCAGTGAGCAAAAATTGCCAGGTGGCCATGACTTTTGGACCTACATTCTGCATTCGCTCATCAATCGCTGATTTTCCCGCTTCTCCCCCGCTGCGGATTCCTTTGTATTCAAACTGCTATCTTGTTTTATCGACCATAATTTTAAAATGGAGCTTTTTCGGATGCTGCTTTAAACTAAACGAGCCATTTGTTTGCATAGTAAATTATTTAAATTCAATTTATTATATTTTGATGAATCATTCTCTTAATACATCAAAATAAAATTTATCTCACTAATTATATATTTTAGCTAAAATATTTGATTTAAAAAAAAATTCTGTAATTGGCTTGAGACCATTTGAACTTTGGTTTTGATGAACATTTAGTCAAAATATGAGTCTCAATGAGATGAATATATTGAGTTTAATTATGTTGTCGTTATGACATTTAATAACTTAGGAATATTAGGGGATCAATACAAAACATTTCATATATTAAGATTTCTTCCAAGAATATGTACATAAACTAAACTTCCATATATTTCATAGGAGGCTGAGATGAGACCATAAGAATAATCTCATATGCTTCTTAATTAAGGTCTTATATCATTTTTCTTTGCATTTGAAATCTAGATATTTCTATAAAATCATGGTATTACCGTGTGCTTCTATGCTTTTCATTAGTCTTCATTTTATCACAAGTAATTATTACTTCACTTAAGGTCAATACATGGACATGTGGAATAATCATAATCATTATATAAGATATTTTATATACAACTTTAATATACATTGAGTTCTATAATTCTTCACCTATCTTAAACATCCTCATTTTTTTCTTGCATACAAAAGTTGTTCTAATTAATTACTAAATAAAGTTTGGTATTCTTACAATCATTTAAATTTAGAAGTTTGAGCATCCACATATAAATAAATGTAAATAATATAGTAAATATTCTAGATGAAAAACCATATGTAGGGGCTAACGTAGATGAGAAGCATAGAAGCATACGGATGCAAACAAATAAGAGAAATCATAGAAAAAGGAACATACAACGAATGCAGAGAATAAGGAACATACAACGAATGCATATCCATATCTTTCTCTTTTTTTAAGGAGTTGCTGGCTTATTTTTCGTCATATAGATGATCTGGAGAAGAGAGGAATCAGAGAATAAGGAGCATACAACGAATGCAGACAAATAAGAGAAAGAAAGTGATGAACTTTTATAGAGTAAACTTCACTTGATAGCCTAAAACTGTATGTCCGAAACGAGATCGGATTGAAAATTCTTTAGAACATATCTGTGAAGAAAACTTACAAAAACAACGCACAACCAGAGAGTCAAGTGTGTGTGCTTATTTTGGGGTCAAGAGCAACTCCCAAAGGGATGTATCATTTTTATTAATTTTATCTTTATGGATGTCCAATAATACTCTCGATTAAATAAGTCATGCTTACATTTAAGTGATGACAATGTTTATTTTGGGGTCAAGAGCAACTCTCAAAGGGATGTATCTTTTTGATTAATTTTATCTTGGTGGATGTCCAATAATACTCTCAATTAAATAAGTCATGCTTACATTTAAGTGATGACAAGTAGGGGTGGTACAAAGGGAGGTTAACTCGTAGGAACATTCTGCTATTGTTTAAGCTCTCGCTAAGCCACAGAGCAGAAAATTTATCTCTCACATCCAAAATGGGTAACAATTTATTGACAAACGGGGCACATGAAACAACCAGGTCACTAAGACACAGGGCATAAATTAAACATATTTAAGATAAATAAAACCTGCAACAACAATTTGAGTCAATCTTCATATGAAATGCAATGACATCAAGTTTCTTTCTATTGATCTCATCATGAGAACAAAGCTAACACAAAATACTTCATTGTTGGTTCATTTTCGGCTTCCCATGTGAAGAACACAATCATCTTTTGTTTGATTTTGAGGTCATTGACAAAATTTCCTGCCATTGTTTTCACATGTAAGAGCAATGTATTTAATGCATGCAAATTGCAATAACAATACACTTCACCACTTCGAAATGCAATTGTAGTTGTTGATGACTGGCTTGATCTCATATTTGTTTAATACTTGAAAGCAAATAAATCCTACAAGAGGTGTGTAACATTTATAAGTTTAAGCATTTGCTACTTCCCTGGTTAAGCTCAATTAAATATTAGTTTCAAATGTAAGAATACGTGCGTCTTGAGAGTGTGAAACTCATAAAAAAATAAACATGAATCATTAACTTTCAACCAAGAAAAGCAACATTAAGGGTCTATTTGGGGAGGCAGTGCGGTGACGGCGCGACACCATACCACAATTTTTTCTGTTTGGGTAAACAACTTCGTAGCAGCTTTTTCAAAAATATTTTATTGAATTTTTCATTTTCTCACCACTCATGGCTAGGTGGGGTGGTATCTTTCTAGCTACAGTTTGACTTAAAAAAAAAAATTGTAAGAGCCATCACAATTTTTTAAGCATCGGATTATTATTCAACAGCTTCACAACTTCTTTTTAATAAGCTACAACTGCCCCAAATAAACCCTAAGTCACCACTATCTTATTTTGACATAAGCTTTTTTTAGATTAATGAAGAGTGAATGAAACATAATAAAATCCCATTTTTTTTATTTTAATAATAATATACAACTATTATGAGTTTATTTTTTTATAATTTTTTTCCTAATTTTCTTCCACCCAAATTTTTACCATCCAAAGTTGAAACATAGCATTTAGATAATGTACCATTAAAAAGTTTCTCTTAAAACATCTATCATTGTAGAATTTAAAAAGAAGTCGCACCATATACAATGAGAAACGAAGAGAAAGATTAGAACATTGGACGGTGGGTGATCGATCAAGAGCTCGAACAAGAAAAAAAAAATGGCCCAAAAAAACATTCTGCAAGAAAAAATCCCTACATAACTTATAACGAAGAAAAAAATAAAACATGGGTAAATTATCATCAACGGATTTGCACTTAGGTGCAAGATCTACCCTTTCACAGTAGGAAAATTGAGAATCAAGGTATTGCAAAAGGCAAAAGAATAAAAAATCAAGTTGAAGCAAGTGTGAGGGAGAGGACCGACCCTAAGCTCGAATGCACAAACAACGGAGTATGCATAGGAAGGAGGAAGGAGGAAAGAAATGAAGGAAATGAGTTGGGAGAGCGAGTTGATCTAGACAATCAACATGCTATGAGATGATGAGTGACGAAGCCCTGCCATTGGTAGACAAGAAAAATTTTGTGTACGTAAGACGTACGCAGCGCTGCGTACATCAGAGGTTATTCAGAGAGTATTAGGGGGTTATATAGAGTTAGACCCCCTGTGATCTCCCTGTAACCTACCTGTATCTTCTAGTAAGTTCTGCACTTCTGTTTTCATATATTTGTAGGTTGCAGACATGTTATAGAGAGGTTACATTGGGTATAACACAGATATAACCCTTCAATACCCTCTGAATAACTTCCTTAACGTATGCAGCGCTGCATACTCAAATTTTTCTCCTAGTAGACGGAGGCGGCATGAGAGGAAACTGTTGAAATGAAGAAGGTAAAGTTTAGGGCGGTTGGCTCCTTATATCTATACTATTGGGTGGTTGTTCCATAAAAACCCCTAATAAATATATGATATATGATATATTAGTCCATTTTTTATTGTAACGAACAAAATTCCTAATCTTTTTACCCTTCAATGTCCAATTGACATTAGTATAGATATTTTTTGTTTCTTTTTTATAATTTACAATCATTCTACTTATTTTCTCTACCCAAAGTTCTTTATCTACTTCCACAACATTTAGAACAAAATAACACTACCCTTCTCTTCGCTCCACCCTCCCAACTCTGCTTCCATTTTCCAATACTCCATTCCCCGCCTTCTCGAATGCTCCTCTCCATTTCTCACTCTCCTTCACATCACTTTCGCTCACCCACCCCATTCTCTCCGCCCTACTTTCTTCCCGCTTCATCTCTCTGCATCAAAAACCCTAAACCCTGCATACCCTATTGCTGCACTTCTCACCATGAAGCTGCTGGAAAATCCGCCATCCAACGCATCTCCGAGAAGCTCCGCAGCCTCGGCTACCTACCCGACGACTCAGCGGCTGCCGC